GGGGGGGGGGGGAGTGGTTCGATCGATACGAGTAATAGCAGTAAAACTATGAATTATGACAATGATAGTAATAGCAATAATAATCATCATAATAGCAATAATAATAATAGTAATGCTAGTAATGCGAGTAGGATGTCCACGGCATCGCTTCGCCGGGCTCAGGTCCGAGGTCTTGCTGGAAGCACTCTGCATCTTCAAGCTTCGCTTGGTGAGATGAACAGGTCAAGCACTGCTTCCTGGATAGATTGCTTGCAAGATGACAAGCAGCTGTTGGCAACTGCTTCGTTCAATGTGACAGCGGAAAGTATCGTTTCACGCTTTGCAGAACACGCAAGGACTTATTTGCTGATGAGCACCTAGTATCGACTCGACCTGGTATCTTGTCAGTCCTGCAACCGAACTGTTAATTGCCGGTCCAGAGCTTTCTAATCAGCTGATAGTTTGATGAAGCGCTTCCGCCTCAGGCTACTGATGGATTCTCCAATTCTGCTGAGCAGCACAAGTAGAACAGGAAGAACCTGAGCTGACAAGGAATGGACCTGACTTGACAGGACCGAGACACGGTTCGCAGAAGTAGGAAAAACCACGTGATACCATCTAGTGCTGATGCATCTTGCAAGGCCGTAGCGAAGAGCTTGTAGTCTGTGGTACACGTGTGACACAAGCCTTCATGGCCCAGAGACGCCAACAGCTGTGCGTAAATGAAAAGGTCATAGCCTCTCAGGCAGCACTGCACAACCGCGACATGTTATTGCGAGCTCTGCCAGGACTGCAACCTTGTGTGGCTTGCATCGTGACACAGATCACGAAATGTTGCCCCACGCCTGCCATAAAGAAGCTGGCGCCAGCAGATCCTGCAAAGACTGGACGGACTTGGATCACGGGCTGCGCGTACCTCCGCCCCCGGCCTTCCAGAGGAGTCTTCAGCAGGGCCAAATCGCCGCCAGCTGCCAGCTCGAGGAGGTCGGCGGCTCGGGACCTCGGCGAGCTCGGGACTCTCAGCGACAATGCAGAAGATGTCGGATAAATTCTGATAGTTAGATGCTACATCGCGGTCACTGGATCGAGCCGCAAAGCTGCCAGCAACATAGAGCGGCAGCGATCTGAGCTCAGGGCGTGCCCCCGAATTTCTCCAAAAGCCGCGACATGGTCCTCGCCCGTGCGGCATAGCGAGGCTCCGAAAGGACGTGCGACACATCCTGGCGAGATGCCAGCTGGAAAAGGACACCAACTGTGCCAGAGTCCGAGCATGTCTCCCTGTGAAAAGACATCAAAGAATCAAGCCAGCCGCCCCTAACCTACCGCCAACACGAGCAGCCGGCCTGTGCCTGGACCCAGCCACCCTGCGGACCTCTAGTCGGGCATCCGGAACGCAAGGCTGCTGCTGCTGGGGGGTTCGGCAGGGGTTGGCACCGTGAAATCACCAAGGGATGGGCATCTTGCAATCGAATCCCTGCTTCAGGCTTCGATTGGGTTGGCCCGGCATGAATGATCTGGCAGCCAGCAATGTCGTGCGCCGCAACGTTGAGAAATGATGCAGGCATTACATCGACTTTGCAGCGCATGTCAGGCGTGTGCCCCAGGCTACATTACCAAAGCCATGAGTCCGCATCGTGATGTATCAGAACGACGGACGGTCTGTGATAAGATCTACATTTACATCTCACTGTTCTTTCATGAATTAGTCCTGCTTCTGAATCACTGTCAGGACACGATCAAGGAAAATGCCAATTACCAACACCAGCCAAAGGAGAAAGAAAAAAATGTCGGTGTCGAACCTGTGATCCCTGCGCCCGCATCTGCAACTCGCCGACAAACGGCCATCTGATCCTCAGGTCTTGACAAGGCTTGCGCAGGCGTTCTGCCCAGGCCGTGAGTGCCTTCCCTCTAGGGCCCAAGCTCCAAACTGTGGGTAGCCGACCAGCGGCTTGCCCATGGCCATGCACTCGACAGCCGAGTTTCCTGAGTGCTTTGTGAGCTACTTGTCCTTTGCATGCACACACACCCTTGCGGATGCCTCCACAGTGGGACACGAAGGCCTTCACCTTTGGGTGCGCCAGCGACCGCACCGTTGGGACCCAATGGTGGATCATCACGCTCGAGGGTAGTGCATCTGTCGGACAGCATGTGATGCGTGATTCTGCTGTCACAGGTGCACGAGAATTTCGCGGTGCCTGGCAAGTGGACCTGCTGTGGTTTGGGCAGGGCCCACAGTGTGAAGTACTCGGTAGACGTGAGGGTGGAGAGCATCGCAGCCACCTGAGGATTGGATCGTGCTGAGGGTTCGGCTGGGCCAGCGGATTCTGTCGGCACTGTCAACAGCAGTCTTGGCCCGGAACCCTCTCGGGAGTCAGCCGCACCACTGTTCCAAAGCTCACCTTGAGAACTTCCCCTTCAATGGACTGGCGGAGCCGCGAAGCCCTTGTGCCGAGAAACATAGACCACCGGCATGCCATCAGGTACAGCCTCTAACCAAGACCTTGACAGCGCGCGAAACGGGGAAGAGTGCAAACCAGGTTCCAAGATCTGCTCGAAACCTGATCCTATTATTCTAGTTCCACTCCACCAAGAGTCTCCACTTCTTCTGGGAAGGGCTCCATCTTTTTCACATCAACGACCGGGCCTGTGTACCTCGGCTGCTGCTGTCTTCTGGCCCTCTCGGCTTCCGGCTTCAGCTTGGGCACTGCACCAAAGGTGGCAGTAGCTGCGGGTAGTCAAAACCCGGGATGCTGTTCACGAATGTCAGATGCCCCCTCCACATCTCCGGGCCTTGGCTCCCAGTTGAAAAACGTAAGGAAACCCAACATGGCCCCAGAAGCCCTCTCTAAGCAGCGTCCAAGCTGCTGAGATCCGGCATGAAGGAAAACTGAAAGCCTGCAGCCGCTCCCAGGTGCCGTCCAAAGTTCCTCTGGGAAAAGCGGCGCTAAAAAAGTACGAAAGACAACATCACCAAAGAAAAGCATGCCGAGATTCATCAGAGAGTTGCTTCCGATCACAAGAAGCCTGCAAGATGGGCGGAGGGCAGAAGGGTCCGGGCCTGCGGGAAGCTCTTACAGTAGAACCCGTCTGCCTGTCCAGGAAGGTCATGTTGTGCGGATTCACCAGGTGAATCGGCATCGGTATAAAGGAATTCACCCACCTCTGCGGTTTCGCTGGACGTGATACCGTGATGATCTATGCTTCCGGAGACTCGGAGGATCACCGACGACTAGTGACTAATTTCACGCTGACCACGCCCACACCCCAAGAAACTACAGGTTCGGAGCAACCCACAAACTCCCACTCATTTTGATCATATTTTCGTGGGCTCGCAAAGCCATGCTGTCCGGCACCCGAAAAGAAACGTCAACCAAACCTGGAGGAAGGTCCCCACAAAGAAACTCCAAAACCGACAGCCCACAAGGAGTTTCTTCTTGTGCCAGGGCTGTGGCACAGCCCTGTCCCTTGAGATGTCTTTGGCGTCTTTGATTTTTTGGAGGCGGCTGTATTCCAGGATTAGCATGTGTTCAACTTGTTCAACTTGCTTTGGTTTGGCTTCCGAAATCGTCCGTTCCTATGGGAATGGGAAACTACTACGAGCAATTCCGACAATTTTGCGACGAAGCTGGGAATCTCCCGACAATTGCAGGGCAACGACAGAAGATACCCAAACAATTTCTGTACCCCGCAGGTACTACATGTCGTGCATGTCGCACACCAACAGAACTCCAGTTAACTGCAGGATAAACAACAGTTCCAGAAACTACCACGACACCATGCCGTCGATTCTCTTGAAGTCTACTTTGCCAGGAATAAACTGCCCTGCCCCTTGGACTCTTCAACCGCTCCTAGCGGCGGGCTGATTGGTGGAATGAGGATTGTTGGCACGTTCACCTCGAGGCACAGCAAAGCAGACTGTCCGGAAACACCTTCGCGCACCTAGCCATGACCCAAACTAGCCATGACCCAAAGTGAATCGACCACGCCTGCTGTGTAAGCTACTAGAACAGCATGATGCCAAACAGGAAGTGATGGCATCAAAGTCGGAGGAATGTGATGTGTGTTCTATCAGTCCCGGTCCGTCAGCCCTGCACTCTTGCCAGAGCGGTTGCCTTGCAAATGTGGTTCAAGCCCGGTGTAGGCCACGGTCCACCATCAACAACCCTGCAAAGCCCTCTTCCCACCCAGACTCCTACTGAAGTCACTGAAGGCAAGCCCAGTGGCTGCAAAGTCGATACCGTAGGCCTGCAGCTCACGGCCCACAGCACCGAAGGGAAGTGCGAGGAGAGCGAAGGACGGCTTCCTGGGTTGGCACACATCATCTTTTGAGGCTGGGCACAGGAGACCTGCCGTTGTGTGTGCCATCTTGGCCATCGTTCGGGAGACAGTGCTGGATCTAGCACATAATAGATCCAGAATCTAGAACCGAGGTCTGCATAGCCGAAGTCATCCAAGTAACACCTCCCCGCTCTTGAGCAGCTTCGCCACGCCGTCTTTCAATGGATCGAAGTAGGGCTTCATCATGTTCTTGACCATGAAAGGCGTCTACGGGGATAGGCGCTGAACGAAGCCACAGATCGACCGCACCAATTAAAAGTGCATGTCAGTGAACATGATATGGAGGAGACGCCTGACCCTCCTCCTCCTGCCTGGCGCAGAGTGTTGTTCGAGGAAAGCATCTGCCGCGCCAGTTCCTCCTCCTTCGCAGAACACCCGCGCATGCCTGCATAGGCTGCCCCAAGTTGCGGCCTATGACAGCAACTTCCTTGTCATCACTCACCGGAAGCTCGCCGAGGCTGATGTAATTCAGTTTGCAACTCGAAGCATACTTCGCCACCTTCTGCCGTCCTCAAAACAGGATTCTAGTAGTGTACAGCAAGCGGTACGTGGATTGAGGCAGCTGGGAAAGGAAATACAATCGGACCTCGGTTCAAGATTCCAAGCTGAGGTGTCACATTGGACGCAGGCGATTCAACGCTCGAGCTAGCGAAACAAGGTCTCAGTTCATCCTCGTTCTGCAAAGCTGATGACAGTGACATTGTGCCCCCTGAGGCAGAGCTCCTGCGTGCATCAGCTTCTGCCAGGAAGCACTGCCTTGCAAAAGAATCGCCATTTCGCTTCCTTTATGTTCCTTTGACAGCATGAGAAGGTCCTGCCCGATGGAGATGCAATTGTGGATCGGGGAAAGCGGAACTCCAACAATGAGGAAGTCAAACTTCTCGGCCATGGGACTGCCAGCTCTGTGGACAAGGCAATCTCCAAGCCGTCTCCCTGCCTGCGCTAGTGGAGGGCAGAAACGAGATCACAGGGACCGAGAAGCTTGAAGCGGCAAAAGCCCAGGCCGCTCAGGTTTCAACAAGAGCACCAAGTTCACTTCATGTGGCACGGAGTGCACAATCCACACATCTGGATGTCCATCTTGCCCGATCACCCGTTCACTTTCGTTGAACCCGCGGTGTAGCATATATAACACCGGTACATGCAACTGGAAGCAAGTGCAATTACAGAGACATCCGGTTGTTTTCCTTGCAGGAAACGAAGGGTTGATTGGCAAACTGAATTTTACGGCCGCTGGCTGTCTACCGTTGCGCAGACAGCACAACTGCAAGCATCATTAACGTCTGCAGGGGTAAGATCCAATCCCAGTGCTGCATGACAATGACACCTAGCTGTGTAGAACCATGCAGAATCATGGACCGTGATCCGTGCTGTGTGCTTCAAACATACAGATGCGTGGACACACAAATTGCATACACCATATCTACGTGTGTATGTGCCTGTACATGTATGTATCTGTGTGTATAGAGGTGTATACATACGTGTCCGTGTATAGACAACGTTTTGATGAACTATGCCTAGGGCTTATGGCACCAAGGCGCGACTGGCCTACCCCGCAGGATGTCCAGGGCCGTCCGGTTTAAACGACCCAAAGGTGTCGGTTTCCGACAGCTTGAATCTGTCGGGATGGTGGTTCCAAGAGACTAGTTACTCTGCTTCATCGAATCAACTTTCTGCGTTGCTCGTTTTTTTTTGGGGGTCCTGGCAGACAGAGTTTACAAGTACAGCCACCGTCCCAACTCTCCGTGCGCAGGTCTTCTGCACGTGTCACTATGAACACAACGCACCACTAGCGGTGGGTCTTCGGAACTTGTGGAAGATTGAAGCTCACCTTTCGAGCCAGCCGCGGACGCCCTGGGCGTCCCACGGAGCTGGAGGTGTCCGTGTCCTGGGTGCGCGAAGACAACTCGCATCGACATCTTGCGAGGGTAGCAAGAAAGGGGCAAACATTCGCAAAGCCGACGAAAGCATGTTAGCACTGGGCGGCTGCCGCGGAGGTCACGGTGACGCTACTCGCCGACCTGCACAGGGCGTCACGTCGTGTCACGTGTGGTACGCAGGTGCAGGCCAAAGGAGTGGATGACCGGAAGTCGGGGGCAATTTGAACCATGTATGTATGCATATATACATATATACATATATGCGCACACACACACACTGTATATACACATATATATATATACATACATACATACATACATACATACATACATACATACATACATACATTTATAGTACTTGAAAGGAAGAGCTCGGCTCTGGCTGACTTCGGAATGCAACAAACAAACTGACGGTACCCACACTTGGCCATTTTCTATGGACAAGTTGCAGGGTGGGCTAACCGGTAATTGCATACAGTTCCACCGAAAAAATCAGACTGTTGGCGGATTCGGTTTAACTATGAGCCTGCACACCCTCTATGACGACACGAAAAATGGAAAGTATGTAGCAACAGAATGCAACAACATGTAAGAAGGATAGTAGTCGATGATGACACAGAAGTACCAGTTCAGTCAATACAGCACCAGTCTCTGCTTTGTAAACTCAATGCACAGAACGTAAGTGTAGCGGGCAATCATGGATGTATGCATGTGGATGTTATCAATCTTTCTTTCTGATCTTCCTATCTACCTAGCTACCTACATAATGCAGCATATAGTCTAAACTCTAAGTGTACTGTGGACAGAAGGGCATGCAATCATGCAAAAATGCGAAAAGCTTCGATAGCGCTATCGAAAAGTGTGCAACACTTAGTATGCAACACTACGTCGGACAAAGCCACATCGGAAACGTTGTTCAAGTAAGTACAAGCATGAGTGCTTAGCAAAATTAATTCGGATCTGATAGCACACAGAGTCGATGAGATGTTGTAGTATCTACCATACAATGAGATGCAAGTACAGCAATATGCAACGGCGTGGAAATGAATCTGCTAGTGTGTGTGTGTGTGATAATATAGTAGCACAGTCTGCTGACAATGTACAGCAAAAGAACAGGCGTACGATTGCATGTGACTGTGAGTGTGGCTTTATGCATGCATACCTCTACGCATCTTTGCAGATTTAGCCTGATATAGGTGCAGTTGTCAAAGAAGACTACCTGATATGCTGCACGCCGACAGTCGCCTCGAGGTCTGTGCCCCTCTCCCACGCACCCTGGCCGAAGTCATCAGGGGGCGTCGAGCCTGCGAAGCGGAGGATGCGGACGCAGCAATAGCAAGGTAGTCGTCTGCAACAAGCGGAAGATGGCTCAGCTCCAGGAATGACAAGTTGAGAGTCTAAGCTGCACAATAAGTTTGGTCGAGAGCCTATGCCTATGCGTTTCCAGACGCCTCGTGGAACTCGGCAGACTCCAGGGCAAGCTCCTGCCAAGATGCCCCTGCCAAGAGTTGCCTTCTCTCATTGAGGGGAGAGCTGAACCCAATGCAAGGTCAAGCAAATCTCACTCGGTGATTTCAGCCCATACAACTGTAGCTGACTCCTCCATCCAGTTTCTGCCTTGGGAAAATTAGAGCAAGCACAATACTGAATGACCACAGGCACCTGTTTGGCAAAGTAACTCTGCGGGCATCTGGCTGCTTCGATAATGCGCCGCTCTGTGACCTCTGCAAATGCACAACATGTCGAAATGCCTACACTGCAAGTGTCCCAATGGGAACCCTAGCATAGCGGTCGTGACAGCTGCTTTCTCGCGACGAGACCCGCAGACCTCTCCAGACCCCCCACACCTGGTCAAAAATACCAAGTACTGCCTATACATGCTTGTGGAACCTCCGAGCGTGTCATCGGCGGTCGCTCCCAGAGGTGCTCCGGAGGCAGCGGAACGTAGCCTCGGCTGGACACGAATCGCTTTCTGGCGATCTCAGGTAGTCTGGCCGAATGCAACAGCTACGTAGGTTTCGGATGCAGCAAAGGAGTCCAGCGCTCCCACCCTGACCAGCCCAAATCCCAAGAACTCTCTTAGAGCCTGGTCGACCGTCTTACTGAGACCTCTTTTTCCGGTCTAGACACATTTGGGCAGTGCCTGCTGTGGTGGCGGTCTGTGGCCAGTTCTCAAACGTCCGGTTGCCGTCCAAAGTTTGAGGCCCTGGAGATTCGAGGGGACTTCCAAGTTTGCGAACAGCTTTGTCAGTTGAGGGCGTGAGGAGGGTAAAGCTCAAAGACGAAATGATCAAAACAATCTCGAGGAGTCAGATGTGCAATCTTCTGGATCCAGCGTCTTAGTCTTCCGTGGCCTTCACCCTGCGCAGAAACAACTACCGTTTCATGGACAAGGTCGCGAACAAGTTGCCATCGGGATGCCCTGTTGCTTATTTCCCGATCTCCCCTGTCATCCCATCACATTAGCTGCTTCATGATTGCCTACGCCACAGAGGCCAGGAACGACTCGGTCGGGGTTCCCGTGTGAGGGAGATGCACGAACTCGGCGCACGTCGGTAGGCTACGCGAGTGGCACTTGCAACTGGAGCAACCGATCGGGGTAGTTACCAGCCTCCTGCAATGACACCGACTTCGTGCTGTCTCAAAGGGAATGCTGAGTATGACTCGCGGTCTTGCAAAAAAATCACGAGGCACTCGTTTTGTCAAAGCACCGTGTGCCAAGCATACTCCGGGAATTGTTCGCATGCCAGGCGTGCCGCCAAAAATCGCCAAAACACACTGCTTGTGGCATTGTCAAAGCTCCATTTTGTCCGCATGAGGTGAAGGCCCGAATGAAGACAAAGATGGACAAGGACGGATTACGAATGGTCGTATCAGGTTCCTCTGCAGCATGTGTGTCTAGCAGGTGGCCACATTGGTAAGGTTGGCCGCCGCAACAGTCTTCCGCCCCGATCACAGCCACAACGCCCCAACACCGGCATGCAACTTGGCTTTGTTAGCGAGCATTCAGCAAACCTTCGTCCAAATTGAGTGCAGCATCTCGGATTACTCAAGTCCCCTGCTCAAATTGTGTTGCTATGACGAACACATGGTGTAGTCGATGGCTTCAGCCTAGACAGAAGGGGCAGCTGTCTCACGCTTGATTCGGCGAATGCACATCTTTAGTTGCCAGTGGTCAGTTACTGGCCCACCAAACCCCAGGAAGAAACAGAACGTAAAGTTACAGGTTCGAGTGGCGAAGCATCTAAATCTAGGTTGGGCTCCTCAGAGAATCCGAAAAGTTTGTCCAACAGACGTCTTCATCCGCATCCGGCCCTCCTCGCCCTCATCGATCGTCTGGCGCACCACCTGCACGACAGGAAACTGCATGTCACGAAGTGCTTGTCGTTTTTCTTACGAGTCGCCTTGCGCGCAGTGCGGCGAGCCACTTGCACGTTGTCCTAGGCTTGCAAGGCTTCGGAGGTCCCAGAGCTGTCCCTTCCAGGTTCAGGTCCAAGCTGCGATTCCACAGTAAATCCACTCCGTCTTTTTGTTGGTGAGGCCTCTGCTGAGCTGACAACTCGCGGAAAAATCAGGAACAACTCCTTCGCCGACGGGCCGAGCTTGAGAAGCCGCAACAACAGGTCGCTGCAGCCAACACATGCTTGCCGAGGCACGGCTCAAAAAGTTCGTCTCCAAGCCCTGGCGCGCGCTGTCTCTCCGTGGCCACGGAGCAAAGCACCATCTATGGATCCGCTCGCTTGAATTAGAGATGCATCGAATTCAACGATACCTCCGGAGCATCGATGAGCTTCCCGTGCTCTCGGAGCATTTTGGCAGCCTTGTTTACGCAACGTTTGGGATTTAGGGCCGGGTTCTCAGACCTACATGTCCCTGGCTTCAGGAGATGCACAAAGCTCCAGATTAGTGTAGACTACCCTGCATCCCGGCCAATTACACAGTGTTCAGGGGCAAATCGCTTCCAAGTTGCATCTGCGTCTGTGTTGGCCTAGGCTGCACAACTCAGATAGCGAGAGGCACATACATAATATGTCACAGGGCAGCAATGCGAGGGGTATCCGTGCTGTGGCCCAAGATGAAATGGCCGCAGATTCCACAGCTCACCACACCCAAGCTGCGATGTTCTGCGTCTGCGGCTTGGGCATGTCGGTGCGGTGAGGGACACCACGGGCGATGTGCAGATTCCTGGCAGTCGAGGGCCGCCGATCTGCAGAAAGACGACACGCATAAGACGAGGTCACGCTGGCAACAGCAGCACTACATGTAGCATCTTGACTTCACATGATGCATACTCGCAAAGTGCAAAGTCAAGCTTAGAAGTAGAAGTAGAAGTAGAAGTACAAGTAGCAGTAGAAGTACAAGAAGTAGTAGTAGTAGTAGTCGAAGTGGTCGTAGTGGTCGTAGTGGTGGTGGTAGTAGTAGTAGTCGTAGTCGTAGTCGTAGTCGTAGTCGAAGTAGAAGTAGAAGCAGAAGCAGAAGCAGAAGCAGAAGCAGAAGCAGAAGCAGAAGCAGAAGCAGAAGCAGAAG